CACTGCACTCCGCTGCGTTTCCATCACAATGACAGTTTATGACTCTTCAGTAAACCATTCGGCCCGCGATTTAGGCTGGATTTTAGATTTTGGCCCCTTCTCTGATTGAGTTCGGCACCCCTATGCTAAGGAGAGAAAACAAAGCCCCAAAGGAGAGAAGACAGTTTGGGGCAGGAGTGGAGGTTGAGTTCTAGAGGTGGTGGCCAGGGAAGACCTCTGACAAGATGGACTGAGAGTAGGAGAGAGCTGTATGGGGCAAGCATGTTCCAGGCCGAGGGACCAGGCTGTGCCAAGGCCCTAGGCTAGGATATGCCTGGCAAGGCCAGTGTGGAGAAAGTTGTAGAGCTACTGTAAAGACTGAATGTTTATGAGGTGCCTGGCATACAGATAGCACTTAATAAAAGGTAGCTGTAATTATGATAGTCACTATCAGATGTTTATGGCTTGATTGGTGTAAACAGGTGCGTAGTTATCTGGTCAACTAGGCCCAAGTCTGTTTTTGGCTTGAGAGGTATGTTTTATTGCAGCCCTGCAGACCTCTAAGTATACATCCCATCAGCACCCTTAGCTTTTCTCCATCAGTAGTGTCTTAAGGCCATTGCCCTGGCTCGGGAGGGGTAGGGGTGGGGGTAGAGGAGAGGGGTAGAGTTGCTGAGTGGATTTTCATTGCCTAAGACAGGGCAACAGTTCCAGAAGTGTGGTCCCCAGAGCAACAGCACCTGGAAGCTTCTTGTTAGAAATGCCAAATCTCAAGCTGCACTCAGATCTGCTGAATCAGAAAGTCTGGGAAGGGGCTCAGCAATCACTGTCTATCAAGCCCTCCAGCTGATTCTGATGTGTGCCAAAGTCAGAGCCAGTGCCTCCAGTGTCAAAAAGTCTCCCAGGGCTGGGAAAGGCTGCACAGTCACGTCCTAGTCACGTCATTTCCTTTGATCTCCTTGAAACTGCCTTATCAGAAAGACCGTCTGTGATCGTTGCTGCTATTTATGTTTATTTATATTTATGCCCCAGGGCTCTCTGGGGTTCTTTCTCCCCAGATCTCCAGGGATAGCCCATCCACCTCCCGACAGCAGTGTCACTGAATTCTGAATGAGCACAGCTCCAGCTGGGCTCTGAGACCCTCTGAGGACTTCCTCTGCCCTGGTACTTCCTCCAGCACTTGTAAAAATAGCATGGACTATCTCTGAGAACTATTTTAAGCTTTGTTATGAAATTAAAAAAAAAATTTTTTTTTTCAAACTCAAGATAAACCAGCCTCAGATTTTCAGACAAGACAGAGCATTAATGTCTTTCCCTGTCCCAAGAAGATATTATCTTGCTGTTCACGGTGAATCAGATGAAGCGTGATGCTCCAGGAACCAAGGCCATTTCAACTTTTTCAGTGTTGAATGGCGGCAGGACCCAACTTTTCTGTACGAAATGGTGTGGTTAACCTAGAGTAACAAACCTGGTGGTCCTCCATTGTCATGATGTGGAGATGGGTGAGCCCCCAGAGGGTGATGGGGAGAGGAGGAAGGGAGAGGTCTTTGAGAATCTGATTTTGTTGCTTCTCAGTTTGAACCCTCTGATAACCTGTGTTGTATTAAGTTAGTGGTCGACAAACTTATTAGTGAACAGAGCCAAATATCAACAGTACAACGATTGAAATTTCTTTTGAGAGAGAGCCAAATTTTTTAAACTTAAATTTCTTCTAATGCCACTTCAAAATAGACTCGCCCAGGCCGTGGTATTTTGTGGAAGAGCCACACTCAAGGGGCTCTTTGCCAACCACAGTCCTAAGTAATGGTTCTCAAAGTTAATCCAAAACAGAATTACTTGGGGCTTTTGTTTAAAATATAGATCCCTGGAACCCTAAGGCAAGTGCTTCTAATGCAGGTGGTCCTTCACATTTTGGAGACTACAGGAAAGATATTGCTTAAATTTCTTAATCTCACAGAAAACAAGTCTCTCTCACCTGAGGATATATTTTCCATTGATTTTCAGAGAGAGTGGAAGAGGGAGGAAAAGACAGAGAAAAACACCAATTTGAGAGAACACAGCAATTGGTTGCCTCCTGCATGGGCCTGGCCAGAGAGGAGCTCGAAACTGAGGTACATTCCCTTGACCAGAATTGAACCTGGGACCCTTCAGTCTGCAGGCCAACACTCTATCCACTGAGCTAAACTGGCTAGGGCAGAAAACCAGTCTCTTTACAATGTGGGAGCTACTATGTCTTGTTTTAAGAACAGCCTCCTAAACTGCCGAGACCGGTTTGGCTCAATGGATAAAGCGTCGGCTTGGTGACTGAAGGGTCCCCGGTTCAATTTCTGTCAAGGGCAAGTACCTTGGTTGCGGGCATTTCCCCAGTAGGGGGTGTGCAAGAGGCAGCTGATCCATGACTCTCATCGATGTTTCTAACTATCTCTTTCCCTTCCTCTCTGTACAAAATCAATAAAATATATTAAAAAATTTAAAAAAAAAACAAAAAACAAAAGAACAGCCTCCTACATTCTCCTTTTGCCATTTAGGATAAGATAACATTTACTCTTATTTTTTTTTCTAGTCAAACCTATTTTATAGTTTTCATAAGTCATCCTTTTTCAGTATCCAATTTACTTAGAAATTTTATTGGGAATGTCTGCTAAATTTCATAAACAATGTTTTTATTGATACAATCATTTTAAAAATTCAGTTTGTTCATATAATAGATTATGTTGGTAGATTTCCTGGTATTAATTCACTCTTTCTAGAATAAATCCTGTATAGTCAAGGATATCACTCGTTGGATATATTGCTAGATTCCTTGTAAAATAAAATTTGCTACATTAAAACCTTTTTAATTTTGTTTTCATCAAAGTAAATACTTTGAGTCAAACAGTTCCATAAAACTTATAATACAAAATAGTAGTCCTTGGCTTGCCCCTACCTACCCTTCAGTTCATACTCAGAAGATTGCCATTTACAACTTATATATCTGTTTCTAAATGGCATGTTTATGTAGCTATTTCCTGATATTTCAGTTTTTTATTATCACTTAGAGATTTCCAACTATTGCTTGGAATTTAGCTTTCTCACCCACACAAACTCTGCAACATACATAAGATGAATATTAATCAACCCACTTCCCCCATACACAGAGGCATACTCATACATACATACAGACACACTCTTCCCCATGCCATAATCTTGGTTGATTAATATTCAGTTTACATTATTATGACTATGTGAAAATATTCCCAACTAAGTCATGAAGTGAGCTATGATTAAATTTCCTTTTTGTACAACTTTTTTATTTTCTCTCATGTTAATAATTTTCTCACTTTATTAATTTTACTATGTACCAATTACTAATTCATAGACAAACTCTTTGACAGAATTAAAATCTCATCTCAATATTTTCAAACATCAGATATTTTATAAAATTTCTCTTTTTCAAATAGCCTATCTGGAGCTTCTGTCCTGCTCCAGTTAGAACTGATAACTCTGTAGGCCTGTTGCACAGCTAAGATCTCCCTAAAATCATCTCAGAGATTGCCTGCCTATCCCTTCTGGGGTCCTTACCTTCTTTCTTGGTTAATTCTCACATTTTGATGGGGTGCATCCTCAATAGCTTTCTGAGACAGGGTGCATGGAAGTTAAGTTTGTTGAGATCTTGAAGGTCTGGAATTTTTTTTTTTATTCTGCCTGCAGATTAGGTGGTCTTTTTAGATGGGGGCAGAATTCTAATCTGGAAATAAAATTTCTCTGAGAATTCAAAAGGCCTTGCTGTTTTCTGTAGACAATTTTGACCCTATCATTCCTGATCCTCTGTACATGGCTTTGTCTCTCACTGTTTTATCCCCAGTGCTATGCAATTTATAATGATGTGCATCATTTAGGGATTTTTTTTTTTATCCTCTGTGCTTAGCTCTAAGGTAGGGGTGTCGAACTCAATTAGAGAAGGGGCCAAAATCTAAAATCCAGCCTAAATCGCGGGCCGAATGGTTTACTGAACAGTCATAAACTGTCATTGTGATGGAAACGCAGCGGAGTGCAGTGATGACAGTGAGGTGCGGGCCACATTGCGGGCCACATTGCAAGGCCTGGTGGGACGGATTTGGCCCGCGGGCCTTGTGTTTGACACATGTGCTCTAAGGCAAACTTCTAATTTAGTTCCAGGAAATCTCCTTGGTCAATTATCTTCTCTGTTTTCTCTATTCTCTCTTTCTGGAACTCCTTATCATTCAAATATTGGAACTTCCTCAAATTATCTCTCTCTCTCTCTCTCTCTCTCTCTCTCTCTCTCTCTCTCTCTCTCTCTCTCTCTTTAAATTCTTGACAATTTCATCTGCTTTGTCTTCCAACTAGGGTTATGAAATTAAATACAGGAAAATGTTAATTTCAGACAAGAATTGCATGGGACAATTTATTGCTTATCTAAAATTGAAAGTAGATTGGGAGTCCTGTATTTTTATTTGCTAAATTTGGCAATACTTGTGTCAACTCTTCTCTTGCAACGTTCCTTTATGCTATCCTAGTTCCTAGTTTTAATCACTAGGATCTCTTGAAATTGTTCTCTAAATGTTCCTTTCTAATTGTGTTTATTTGTTTTTTTCTCTCTTGAATACAATATCTTCTCTTTTCTTTCTGGAGACATTGAGGGATTTGAAAATTTTCTTCTGCTGCCCTACTTTTTCTCTTTCGTTTCCCAGATTTCTTCTTTCTCCCTTTTTTTGTCTCTGCATTTTATATCAGACTATGTCACATGTCTGGTAATCCTTGGTTGTCTACTCATATTTAAGAGTGATACTCTACATAGCAGTTCAGGAATTGAGTGGATGGCATCTGTTCATTGGTGGATTTCCCTGTAGCACTATCTGTTTCATTGGGGGTTTCTACCTGTCAGTATCTTTAGGTCTTCTCCCCTGAGCTAGTCAGATCCCCAGAGAGGAGACTTCTAATTCCCTTCCTGGGAGAAAAAGGCATGGCTGCTAGAAATCTGGGAGGTGAGGCACAAAAGAAGAGCAAGGCCTGAGTCCCACCTTTCGGTAACTAATCTTCCTCCACGTTTTCGATGTGGTGTCCTTGCCTCTGTGAGCCTGGTGTCCTTGAGTCCAGAATCCCTCTGGTTCAACCCCTTAGAGAGCTTTCTGCCTGGAGGCAGTGAATGGCCTTTCACCCTGTGAAAGAGAGGTGACATGAGAGCCTACCTGCTTCTCCTATAGGCTTTTTATCTGTATGTTTCCCAGAAAACAAGATACTATTAGTCTCACTAATAGGCACTGTTTCCCCACAGAGCTGTTTAGCTGCCTCCTGATTGCCCCTCACTCCAGTAAGATGAGAGTTTTAGAATAATTTTACTTTTCTCTCTCCTCGCTGCCTTGGACCTTAGGAATCTTGCTTACTTCCCCATCTCTTCCCACCCACCAACAGTTACTATTTTTTCACTTAAGCTCCTATCACCACCCATTGTCCCCCACTCAAGCACTCCTCTCACAGCTTCATTTTGTTAGGAATGTGTTTTGCTTGCTCTGATTATCATCTTTCTGACTGTGGGGCCTTTTGAAACTCTAGGGTATTTTTCTGTGTGGGCTCTTTAGGTTCCAGGGAGTTGTGGCTTGTGAGTCCCAAATGGTGGGAGTCCCACAGATGGCAGAAGGTGAAAAAAATCTCAGCCCCCAAACTGAATTACAGAAACTCCCAAGATTGTTTGCCTTCCATTCTTCACTCCTGACCTTTGACATTATTCTCTAGGCACTTGCCCAGGCCACTGGGAAAAAGAACTTCACAATTCTCTCTGGTGGGAGCCACCAGAGCCCACGGCCTCTACTCGTACCCAACCACTCACAGGAGTTAACAGCTGTTCAGCTCTAGAGAGGAAAACATTTTAAGTTTAGAAGTGAGAAAGATGGAAATTGTCTCCAGATCCCCCTTTTGGCCTCCGTAAGTTACTTCCATAGTCATTAATCACACCAGGAAGGAAGCCCAGATGAAAAGAGCAGAGTTAGAATGAATAGCCATCATCCTTGTTCAACATGTGAATACAAGCTCCTATCATTCCTTCAGGCTGGCCCATCTGGGAGACAAATGCCAGCCATGGTGGTCACAAACCATGATTTTAGCACCATTGCATGAGACATAAGAGAGGTTCTGCCTTCCACTGTGAAAAAAAGCAATGAAAGTGGCTCAGAGTAAAAACGAAAGTCTTTCCTCACCCGACTTTATCTGATGAGATCTCCATCTGCAATGAGGAATCACTGCCAATCTCCGAGAAAGTTTAAAGATCAGGCTGGTTCTTGAAAGGAAGATTGAGTGGGCATATTATTAACCTAAATGGCATTAGGTTTCTATTTCAATAAAGATTCCCATTAAAGCTGAAAGCAATACAGCTACAGCAATGCAGCCATAACCACCCATTGCCTGTAGAAAGATGTGCTTAAATTACACCTGGCTGTACACCCCATTATCACTTTGCAAAAGGCAGTAACTTGAGGTGGACCTCTGTGGCTACAGTGTCCTTCAGGTGACAGCCTCAAAGGAATCCTGGCTTGAATGCAATCAATACTGAGAACCTACATTACTCATGTATCAGCACAGGACAAGAGGCTGACAATAATTAATCAACTAATTACGACAGGCTCTTTTCATTACAGAACATGTGACTTATTGACTGTTTTGTATTATTGTATTTAGTGGCCAACTAGAGAGCATGACAACCATTATTTCATTTCAAACTGTGCCCATCTGGAAGAGTAAATAGGCGTCTTCATCCTCCTGAGCTGGCATCACCAGGACCTGCCACCCTGGGGCAAGCAGTAAATCAAGAGTCTTTGTCTCATTTGCCTATTTCCAGTTGGATGAAAATTTTTATTTTTCCCTTTTAAATGACTTAGGAAGGAGATTACACACTGGCAGCCTGTGGGTTGTAGTCAGCCTCAGATGTGTTTTGTCTGAGCAGTAGGGGTGTTTTTTTTCAATGAGTTTACTGTCCGCATTTAAAATCAGAACATAAAAACAAACAAACAAACAAACAAACAAACAAATAAATAAACAAATAAATAAAATCAGAGCATTATCATAAAAGTCTGGCCCTGACAACTGGCAGGACTGAGTAGAGACTGTCCCTGTTTGGATGGGGCAAGTGTTCTCCTGTTGACCCTAGGCCCAACACTTTGTTTATATCCTGAAACTTCTCTTATTTTCATCACTTGCCTGGCTGCTGACTTAGGAGTACAGTCTGATAGGAAGAGTCACGAGAAGGTAATAGTCCCCACATCCTCACTGCACTGGAAAGTGCTAGGCACCTAACATCATAATTTTAAGCCTTTAGTTCATATGAGGGAACAGGAAACAGGGAACAAGGAAGAGACCTTCCCGAGGCTACTAGTCCACAGTTCTTTCCCACATAACTGTCATTAAGACCCTGAATGCAGGGCATATACAATAGTGCGGTCATTGTTCAGAGTCAAGGAAATCACCAGGAGCTACAGGGACACATGGCTGGATGCCTATCAGAAAGAGTGCCTAGCCAAAACCGGTTTGGCTCAGTGGTAGAGCGTTGGTCTGCGGACTGAAAGGTCCCAGGTCCGATTCCGGTCAAGGGCATGTACGTTGGTTGCGGGCACATCCCCGGTAGGGGGTGTGCAAGAGGCAACTGATCAATGTTTCTCTCTCATCCACGTTTCTAGCTCTCTATCTCTCTCCCTTCCTCTCTGTAAAAAAATCAATAAAATATATTAAAAACAGAAAGAAAGAAAGAAAGAAAGAAAGAAAGAAAGAAAGAAAGAAAGAAAGAAAGAAAGAAAGAAAGAAAGAAAGAAAGAAAGAAAGAAAGAAAGAAAGAAAGAAGAAGAAAGAGTGCCTCCCTGGTTACCAGGTAGGACAATCCTAGCTCTCTTCCTGTTTCCTCAGAAAAAGGTTAACCACACCACTTTCCACTTCCTCCACACCTGCTACTTTAGATCCAGGCAAGAAATTCTAAGAATCCCTCAGAGCCTCCAGCCTGGCTCTGGCTTGGTGGATTTCTGTCTAGACCAGAGTGCCCAGGCGAGTGACACAACCCCATTCATTTAGTTAGGAAATCTTCCTAATAATTTCAAAGATATCACAAAGCCCCAGTGCCTTCCAATTGATTTAAATCTGCTCAACCCCCAGATGAGAATGGCAGCAACAGATTTAGTGGACATAGGAATCACCTGGGGATTTTGGAAAATATTGATTCTGATTCAGAAGGTCCAGGAAAGGGGCTGAAGACTGCGTTTCTAACAATTGGTGAGGCCAATGCTGCTGGTCCAAGGACAACCTTTCAGTAGAGATGAGCTCTAGAAAACTTCTATCACCGCTCATGGCCATGTCTTGCTCTTCATTCTGAGGGTCTTGCCTATTTTCTCTACTTTATTCTTTTTCCCCATTCTTCTTTGCTTCTTTCCATCCATCCTTTTTCTTGGCAAACTTCTTATTCCTACCAGCCATCCCTACCAACTCCCAGCCCTTCTTTATTCTTTATCGTTCAAGGATAAAGAAACTTCTGTCCTTTTTCCTCAGATAGCATCTCCCTCTGTCCTCTCTTCAGTAGTGCCAGAGGAAAAAAGTCACTATTCTTTTAAAAAATATATTTTTATTGATTTTGTACAGAGAGGAAGGGAGAGAGATAGAGAGCTAGAAACATCGATGAGATAGAGTCATCGATTAGCTGCCTCCTGCACACCCCCCACTGGGGATATGCCCGCAACCAAGGTACATGCCCTTGACCGGAAGTGAACACGGGTCCCTTCAGTTCCCAAGCCGACGCTCTATCCATTGAGCCAAACCAGTTTAGGCAAAAGTCACTATTTATTGACAGTTATGGCCAAGCACTATCCCAAGTGTATTACATATGTTATTTAATTCTCACAACAATCCTAAGTATATATTAATACTATATTTTTTAAAATGAGGAAGTTAAGACTTGGGTAGTTAAAGAAACTATGTCCTCAATTAGGAAGCAATGAGTTGAGGTTAGAATTTGTGTCTGTCATTTTGCTCATATGGTAGGGGTGAATTGAAAAGGAATGAAGGGCCCCAAGCATTAGTCCAGTTATGTATCCTGTACAGTTCTCTGAATCCTTCATAAGCAGATGCCCAGCTTCACATATCAATCATAAGAACTGTTTTAGGAATGCTCAGATTAGCTGGGGTAGGACAGGATTCCAAACAATAGAATATTAAAACCCTAACTTGCCAATGCGCCCAAGTTTCCAATGCAACTTGTTAATTAGGCCTATAACTGTACCTTTAGAGCCTATTACCAAAAAAGGCATTCCTACTATTAGGCAATCACCCAACCATATGGAGTCTGACACACAGTGCCAAGTCTTCCGTCGGTTCCTGTAGGGCCCTTCTTGGATGGGTAGCCTATTCCCTTCTCTCTCTCTAGTTACTCTTCCTTGATATCATTTATAGCAGCCCCTTAGTCTGTTATTATTCTCTACCATGTCCTCAAGATCCTGGATTCCAATCTGGGAGCCTATACCTGATCTTAAAATGGTTGTATATTTCAGATTCTTCAAACTGCAGATTTAAGACAAACAGATCTTATGTTGACTATCTTCCTCCCCTTTTATTAGGTGGTCAAACAAAAATATCTCCTTTTAATTCTTCTCAAAGATTCCACAAGTATGAGGAAAATTCTATCTTGACACAAAAATATTCACAAGGTCCAGATTTACTCTAAGGGTAAGAATCAGAATTTTAAAACATGGAATGGACAGGGAAGTTGGAAGCAGCATGGTGCAGGGGAAGGAGCCCTGACCCAGGAGTCATGATATTTGGGCTCTACATTCTTTTTTATTTTATTTTTTGGCCACTAACTGGCTATGCAACCTTGAATAAGCAGTATCATTGTTCCCAACTCTAGTTTCTTCATCTTTAAAGTGAGTAAATTGAATTGAATGATTACTAAGATTCTTTTGATTCCTACTTTTTAGTGTCTTCTCTAGCACCTAAAATAAAATGAACCAGAAAGTTTTTGTGAAATAATGTTGCATCTAGCCAGAAATTTAGACACAAATTAGGTTGAGTCAATGCATGAAAACAGGAAGGTAGAGAAACAGTGATGACAAATAATCAATGAATAATAATGATAAGAATTTAAGACTAAAAATTAAAAAAGACTGAAATTCTCTACCTAGTAGCCACCCACTATCCATAATAATCAATGACTTGTAAAATATGTAATTGGAGCACGGCATGTTCTATTTTGTAGTATACTGCCATTTAAAAATTTGTTTTCCAAAAATAGCATTGACTTATTAAGTCAACCACCAACATTTATTTTAATTCTAAACAATGGTAGGTAGATCAGAAATAAAATTATATCAACATGAACAATTTCCTTCCTAGCAGATTATGGAATTTGACATAGCTGGTATTTTCCGTCTTTGAAGTTAACATGTAATTATGTTTGTTTATGTAAACTCATCTGTCCCCAAATGTTTCCAACTTACAAATATGTGCATCATAGTGTTTACAATAAATTATTTTAAATTAGCAAAGAGACAACTTTCTGACATCTGCCTGCAACTTTGACATCTGAAATTCCTCTACCACTCCCACCATCATATTGCTGGAGAAATTATGGAAATATGCAAATAAAATAATACATTTTTTTAGTTCGTACCAATTTTCTACCAAAATCCTTGCCCTATCTGGTTTGGCTCAGTGCATAGAGTGTCGTTACAGAAAATATATTTGAATATGGTACAGAAAGGGGGAAGTACATAAAAACAAGGTGGGAAAAGAAATAACCTGGGGACCTGGGAAGTTGTTTTAGCTTAATTAAATTGCCTTAGCAACGCAGTTTGCTAAAAAGGATGGTGAGAGGTGGGGCAGGGGAAAGAATAGGAGAGGGTGTTCTTCTCCACATGCAACCTCTCTGCAAAAGGAGCCCAAACCACTTCCTAGAGGAGGAATTCCCTTTTTGAACTATGCAAGGAGACACTGAGCTTATTGACAGCAGTTCATGGAGCCATCACTCAGGAAGAGAACCAAGTGAAAGGGGCCATTGAGCAAACACTTCCCTCACCTGTTCATCAAAGGAGCAAACCCAGTTTTTACTGACTCATTTACCTTGGCAGACAACTGAGACCACTGCTCCCTGGGGCAGGACAATGACTCGCTTGATCAGTAACCTGCCCCTTTATCAGTCATAATAACTCATACTCACTCCCTTCTATTCACTGTTGACTGTGGCTTTAGACAAGTGACTAGATCAAAAGAGCAGCATTGTTTTATTTGGCAAAACATTCAAGGACACGTTCAGTACTAGTCCCTACTATTTTACTCATCAGTTATCAGTCCTGAGCTTCCATGCATTGGTAGAAAGTAATGCAGTAGGAAAAACAATGGGACAGAAGAGAGGCCTGGGTTCTTGTCCCGGCTCTACCACCACTGAATGTGTGCCAGTCTGCTTCCTTCTCTGAATTGACACCAGACCAGATGACCTGTAAGGTCTCTTTGAGGTACAGCACTTGTTCCTTTAGCAATCATTTATTGAGCATCTCCTACACGTGAAGCACTGTTCTAGGCTGTATCTAGAGGATATAATAGTGAATAAAAAAAGACAAAATCCTTGCCCTATCTGGTTTGGCTCAGTGCATAGAGCACATGTGTCAAACACAAGGCCCGCGGGCCAAATTCGTCCCGCCAGGCCTTGCAATGTGGCCCGCACCGCGCTGTCATCACTGCACTCCGCTGCGTTTCCATCACAATGACAGTTTATGACTGTTCAGTAAACCATTCGGCCCGCGATTTAGGCTGGATTTTAGATTTTGGCCCCTTCTCTGATTGAGTTCGACACCCCTAGCATAGAGTGTCGTCCTACAGGCTGAAGGGTTTCAGGTTTGATTCTGGTCAAGGTCATGTATCTTGTTGCGGGCACATCTCCAGTAGGGGGTGTGCAGAAGACAACTGATGGATGTTTCTCTCTCATGGATATTTCTAACTCTCTACCCCTCTTCCTTCCTCTCTATAAAAAATCAATAAAAAATATATATATATTTTTTAAAAAGACAAAATCCTTAATCTAATGGAACCCACATTTTAGGGGGGACAAGAAATAATAAATAAGAAAATAAATACCATATGTTACAATCTGTGATAACTACTCTGGAGGGAAATGAAGTGGGGTAATGAGCAGAGCGTGCTGTTTTATGCCCAGTGGTAAAGGAAGGTCTCACTGATAAGAGGGGCCTTTAAGCAGAGACCAGGCATTTAAGAGGGAGTCGGCCATGTGTTGATTGGGATGAGGTGTGTTCTAGCAGAGGGAACGACAATGGCAAAGACCCTGAGGTAGGCATGTGCTCAGCATAATCAAAGAACAGCGAGGCTGCCAGTGTGGCTGGAGCTGAGTAATCGGGGAGATGGATGAGGTGGGCCAGAAGGGTTGGAATTGGGGCACATGTAGGGCTTGCGGGCATGTGAGGTCTTCGGTCTGTGCTCTGGGAAACTCGCAACCCAAATTAGGTTGTAAATTCAGGTCACAGACTGAGTTTCAGTTCTCCAATATTTCCCAGGGTTCTTTGTATAGTGAAAGGCATGTCTTAAAATAATCAATAAATACTTGAGTGATTTATGAATTGATTGACAGAAGTAAATTTGGTCATCTCAGGCTAAACACTTAAGTTTCCTTGCCACGTTTTCATCATGTGTGTGAATTTTTGTGTGTGTGCTTTTATATCCATTTCTATATTTCTCCAATGCTTTGGAATAACAGGCACCAGAAATATTTATTGAACAAATAAATTAATTTTTAGGGGGAGTCACACACAAACTAGATATTTCCCCATCTGGCAGATGTAAAAAAAAGTTAAGCTACATCTTTTCCACTGGCTGTAATGTCTGGGAAAGTGGCTTTTAAGTCTATTTCTTCATATAAATAATACTTTAAAGTGTTGTTAATTCATTGCACTTTAGCCTGAACAAAGAATCTAAAAAGAGTTCTGACAGGAGTAATTTTGAGGCCTTGAAATCTAACAGAGGACAACTGTTGGGGATCAGAAGCAGGAAAGTTAAAGGCATCAAAGAATAAAAATAGCTCTTTTACGATTTTGCCTAAAGCTCTGGAATGTTGGTAAGCAAAATAATAAAGTTTAAACAACCGATTTTCCTGCCAGTGTTTGTACTACTTTACAGCATCGATCTGAAAAGCTACCCAGTCAATCACACTAAAGCTCTTTCCCATCTGCAGGTTCACTGGGGTCCCTTCTTTCAGAGTCCTGACTCTCAGATCCTTTATCTGCACCAACATGGCCTGCTGCCATGGTGCCTGGCCAGCTTCCTCCCTGTGCAGCCTTTTCAAGGCTGGGCTGGGAGCTACCAGCAGAAAGAGGCAGAGGCAGAGAGCCCTTGAGGTTATCAGCTGAGCCTCTCCCAAATCCCTGCAAAGTTTACACAGAGGTTATAGCAACCTCACATGGATCTGTCACTTGTCATCCCCTGGTTGTCTCCACCCATGACAGTCCCCTGGCAGCAGCTCCAGCTCAGGCCCTGGGCCCTGGGTTCAGGCACTGTCTGTCTGAAGCAGGATTGTAAAGGATCTGGAGAAATATAGACCTGTCTTGGCACAAGAAGCTATCACCAATTAAGACAAGAAACACAAAAATTACAGGATCCTCAGCATTAGCATGTATTGGGGGAACTCTTTTATTAACAAGATACCCCCAAGAACATGGATTCTGTGGTGCCCTTCACACTTTAAAGGACCCTAGAACACATATATGACTAGCCTTCTATGTTAATCAAGAGTGAATTATCCATATACCTGTCGAAAATTGTTTAACTGCCATCAAATCTGGAAGAAATGATGAGGCAAATCCAAATAGGGAGAACAAATAAAGATATTCTACAAAACAACCAGCCTGCACTCTTTAAAAATGTCATTGTTATGAAATATAATAATAATAATTGTTCTAGATTAATGACAAGTGATATAGCAATTAAATGCCATGTATAATTGTTGATGATCTTAGCTCAGGACAAAACCAAGTACAAAGGATATTATTAAGATGATAGGGGAAATTTGAACTTGAACTTTATATTAAATAATAACATTTCATCAATGTCAGCCTTTCTGAGCTAACATTGTACTGATTGTACTATTGTTATATAGGAATGTATGGAATATGATCCTCTTAGGAGATGCACACTGAAGAAAGTAGGGGTGTATTTCAGGAGGTCAGTACCTCACTCTCAATCTCTCTGGCTCTGTTTCCCCATCTGCGGAGTAGGGAATATAATACCCACTTCACAGGGTTGGTGAGGATTGAATGTGAGGACAGAGGGTGTAAGTGGGTGGTGTATGTCACCATTTCTGGGACCTGCTGGTGGATAAAGGACAGGCAGAGAGAACTTCTTCTTCAGCCTGTTTTGTGGTTAGCCTCTTCCAGAGTTTCTGGGGCTGGAGGGTGACATTTGAAAATATGTAGGACAGGACTCTGGTCTTGGCCTGGGGGGGCCTGAATTCCATCAGGGCTATATGAAAAGCAAACATTGGTTTTAGCTCTAAGGAAGGCTTCTTTCTCCTTGCCTCCCTAAAGTGAGATTTCTTATTTTTTTTTCTACATATCTTACTATCCTGCTTCTATGTTTTTGTTCAATTGTAGCTTGTTTTGGTCTAGGGATACTTATTAGGCCTTTGAGTTTGCAAATTGGATTAAGGAGAACTAGAACTTTTGTGGATTTTGCTATTTGATCTCCACACTACTTCTCTGAGTCAGCTCAGAGGCAAAGTCGAGTCTGCAGGCATTTATTGGGCATTTACTGAGTGACTATTGGATATAAGGAAATGGATACCAATCAGCTCTCAAGAACTTTCAGGAGGAGGAGATCCAAAGCAACATTCACAGTAAGAAAAATACCTTAAAATCTCAAATAGACTAGAACTATTTTCTAAAATGATTGGCACTACAATATGAGTCCTGATTGGGGGGGGGGGGGGAAGCAAAACCACTTTGACTCATGGGGAATGCTATTGCCATCATTTTTTTAAAATACATTTTTATTGATTTCAGAGAGGAAGGGAGATAGAAACATCAATGATGAGAGGGAATCGTTGATCAGCTGGCTCCTGCAAGCCCCCCACTGGGGAACAAGCTCATGCCCACGCATGTGCCCTTGATTGTAATCAAACCTGGGACCCTTCAGTTTGCAGGCTGATGCTCTATCCACTGAACCAAACCAGCCAGGGCAATTGCAATAATTTTTTTTTTTTTTTTTTTTTTTTTTTTTTTTTTTTTTTTTTTTTTTTTACCAATTTTGTGCCATGGCCTCTGGTTAAATCTGTGGATCCCTCTCCGAATATTTTTAAATGCATAAAAATTAAATATATATGACTATCAATATGTCAGTTATATTGAAATAAAAGGATCAAAATATTTTAAATTTTAGTTAATGCATTTAATAATTAGATCCAGCCGTGGGTCTAATAACTACTAAATTTTTGAAGTAGTGAGAGTATTAATGATATTTGAGATTAGACCTAAGGGCCAACATATTTTCTGGGGCCCTAAAATGTTTTTACTTTTTAAAGTCCAAAGAAAACATATATTTGGGGTTGAATAAAATGTTTATCCATATATATGCTAATGCTGTAGAAAAATACAATTTTTATAAAGCAAGGTACCCACAAAAGCAGAGGTGTGAAAGACCATAAAAATCATAATGCCACCTTATTCAAGATAGCAGCAACAACCAAAATGTGCTACAGAAATCTCATGATAGCCATTAGGGCCAAGTCACAGGTTCTGCTAATATTACTAAAGCTTGTTGCCTACATTCATAATTGAAGGAAACACTAAACTGAGTGGAAGAGAGCCAGAGCCTTGAACTGGTCTGAGGTCCTGTTTGCCAGGGAAAAGAGGGGCATAGATATGTGAAGGTTACCAGTAATGGTCAGTTACAGAAGGACTGGGTCCAAGTCTGCATGTTGACATGTTTGGCTAGGTAGAAAAGAAGAGAGACAGTTGGAGAAAGCTATACAGAGAGAATGCAAAATTGAATGCAAGAGTAGAAATGCATTATATTTTGTATCCTTTTAGGTTGAAAAAAAAATGCATCCTAATAAAAGGCAAAAATAGAAACAAGCACAGTGTCTGGTGCCCAGGGAGGTCAGTAAGATAACAGGCTGGGCTAGAATATA